TTATCATTTATAAGGACAAATAGTCATTTGCCACGCCGATGCTCATTTTTAGATTAAATGCTCACAAAACGCGTAAATGTTCAATTTGTGTCCGGGAAGATACAATGTTTTGCAAGTAGATACACAGTACATCGGGTAGATGCTCAGGTATATAAGAGTAATAATGAAGTAGGTACTTCGTACTTCGAATATGAGTATCTACTCAGTTTTATTCATACCGTCCAATGTCTCGCTTCAATGTTTGATTATGATGTTGATTATGAGCACAACGCTGATCACCCTCCGTATCCGAATTACCCTTAAAATAAATCATCGCGATTTGCACCTTAGGTAGTTCATCGTACATTTAATTGACTTCGTGGACTTATGTCAGCTTGTCGTCTTCTCGGCATTGTAATTAACTTCATAAAACGACACAGAATTATTTTCATAGTCAATCAAATCTGTAAATTTTGTCTTGAGAATTTTAAAATATTGAAAACTTCAAATTAAATCCTCGAATAACGGTAAAGTTTGAAATTTTGTCGAAACCAACAAAGTGAACAGAGGTAAATAGAATGGCAGATCAAAATTAATAAGACACTTTCACAATGTGTAACTAAATTCACTTTAACGAAGACTTTTCTTAAAATAAACGACGTTTTTTTTACGAAAAAACAAAGAACGATTTGAAATGCAATAATACTTTTTTCACAATCGCACGGGAGAAATAGTTTTGTATGACACGTCAGTTAGGCGACAGGTCCGTCAGGAACGCCAACTATTCAAATTCATTCGAAGTGGCGATTCCCATACAAATTTTTTAAAATTTTTTTATCTTTTAGCCGTCTTATTTTTTATAAATTTTCTTACATATAAACCTTGTCCTGACAATAAGGTACACGTAAAAAAAAGAATCGTCCAATTCGGTGCAGTCGTTCTGAAGTTATGAGCGAACATACATTTCGGCGATTCATTTTTATTAATATAGATTTTACTTTAGTTTTAATTGTAAACGGTGTTTAACTCTGAATTGTATTTATTTTTGTCCTGTAAATGGATTTGTATCTGTTGGGCAAATACATATTATTAAGACCCAACACTGACCCGGAAATGACCGGCATTCAGGCAAGACTTCTATCATTACGGGTACTAAGATCAAGTAATGATATGCATTGATTAGATTAACAAAACAACTTTCGAGATTCTAGAATTACAGCAAACAAATTAGTCTGCTATTATTCTCTAATCTCAATCTCACCCCATCCCCAAAAGTCTAGCGTAACTACCGATCATTTATCCGCGCATCACTTGGAAAGTGACTTACACTACTCTGACCAACTGGTGCTAATCTAAACTGACTGACATGATCAGACAGTTCGAGAAACTTACGAACAATATGACATGTTCCTAACAAAACAGCTTTTTGAATTTTGATAATTATTGAATCATTCAAATCCAAAGACTTTAAATTCTCAACTAAGCTATTTGGGACTACATCTGCATTAGAGATAACTAGGGGTAGAATTGAATTTTTTTTAAGATTCAACATGGATTTCATTTCTATCGATAATTGTAGATATTTTGAAATCTTGGTGTGGTATGTTTGAATAATGTTGTTTGTGTTAGGAATAGCAATGTCAATGAGAATGGCTTCGTTCGTGTGTTTTTTGATAATTATGATGTCTGGTCTGTTAGCTGTAATGTTTAATAAGTCTGTAAGTATTGTGCGATCCCAGTATAATTTGTATTTGTTATTTTCAAGGAACGGAGATGGAATGTAAATCTTATCTTCGATTAAGTTCATAAGTGTTGCTAATTCTTTGTGAATGATTTTGGCTGCGTTGTCGTGTCTAGCTTTGTAGTCAGTTTGTGCCAGGATGCTGGAGGAGGAGATTATGTGCTGGATCGTTTCAGGTTTTGCTTTGCAGAGGCGACAGCAGTCGTTTCTTATATTCGGATCTTTGATGACGTATTTTCTGTAATTCTTGGTATTGATTACTTGGTCTTGAATAGCAAACACAAATCCTTCTGTTGCGCCATACAAACTTGATTTTTTTTAACCAAATCAATGACATCTTCTTGTTGACATAAGTTTCTTCTAAGTCTTTGTAGAATTTTCCATGTAGTTGTTTTTGTTTTAGTCCACTTATTATTTTATCTATTGTGTAGGGGGGTGTGGATTTCTTCGGTGTTCGACAGATTCAAGGGTTTGTGGTTCAAATCTGCTCTTGTGATGGTGCGAAACATTTCATTTCTTTCTGCTCGTTTCAAGAAATACTTCTTCAGATCCGAGATTTGTCTCTGATATAAGTTTTCTAGGTTCTGGAAACCCCTTCCTCCATTCTGTTTTGGTAATGAGAATCTTTCAATGGACGATTTTGGATGATGCCTTCTATACTGTGTGAAGATTTTCCTTGTTGCGATGTTTAAATTTTCAAGATCAGTTTTGGACCATTTATTGACTCCAAAAGAATATGTTAGCAGTGGAACGCAGAATGTATTTACTGCTTTTATTAATTTTTTTCCATTTAACTGTGTCTTCAATATTAATTTTAATCTCGCTAGGTATTGATCTTTCAACTGTGTTTCCGTTTTGGTACGATTGATGTGGGAGGATTGACAGAAACCCAGATATTTGTATGTATCATTTCGTTCTTGGGCTTCGATTATTTCGTTATTCTGGGTTATATGTGGTACTTGGTGTTGGACGCCTCTTCTGATTGCTTAGGTCTTACATTTCTCAATACCAAAACACATACCAATATCACCGGAAAACTGTTCAGTCAGATTTAATAGGTTTGTTAACTGATTTTGTGTACTTGCATATATTTTTATGTCATCCATATACAGCAAGTGACTTATTCTGTTTTCTCTTTGTTTGTTAATTCTTATATTCAACCCATAATTGCAGCTGTTCAGGATATCGGAGAGGGGATTTATTGCTAAGCAGAACCATAATGGGCTAAGAAAATCGTCTTGAAAAATTCCTTTTCGGATCATTACTAGATCTGACTGAATTGTTTGTTCATTTAAGGTTATTTGGAGGGTGGTCTTCCAAAATTCCATAGAAAATTTGAGAAAAGTGCAGATTTTAGTATCAATTTTGTATAATTCCAGAATTTTGCATAGCCAGGAATGAGGGACAGAATCGTAAGCTTTCTTATAATCAATAAAAGCAGTATATATGTTTCGGTTTTCTTTTCTAGCTTGTTCACAGATGATGGAATCTATGATTAATTGCTCTTTGCAACCGAAGGATCCTTTAATACATCCTTTCTGTTCTTCATTAATGATGTCAGAGTTAAAACAGTGTTGATAGATTTTTTGTGTAATGCATGAGGTTAATATTTTATAGATTGTCAGTAAACATGTGATAGGTCTGTATTTTGATGGATTTTTTGTGTCGTTAACTTTAGGTTTTAGGTATGTTACACCATGACATAAGAATATTGGAAAGGAGGATGGGTCAAGAAGGAACTGATTTAAGTGATGTAGTAAATGAATATATACACAATTTAACTTTTTGTCCAAAAATTATGGATTTTGTCTGGTCCTGGTGATTTCCAGTTGTGTGTCTTATTGATGGTACTTATTAATTCGGCAAGTGTTATCTGATGATCATTCATGGTGTAACTGTGGATAGTTTATGGGATATATGAGGAATCCATTTGGCAGATTGGTTAAATTCAATTTCTTGAGACCAAAGTTTTGACCAAAATGTTGTTACATCCTGTGAACTTGGAAGTTCACCGGATAATTGAGTTTTGCTTGAATTAGTTAAATGTTGATAGAATAGTTTTTCGTTGTTTAAAAATTTAGTGTTATGAATTTTTCTGAGATATGATTGTTTGTATCTTTTAAGTCTTTTGCTATATAAGGAAAGCTTTTGTAATAGGGTAACTTTAATTTGGGATAGTGTTGTGTTGTACTCATCGTAATCAGTTTGATGAAAATTATTGTTGGTCAGTATCGAATGCATACATGTCATGATATGTGGTGTTTTAAATCCTCTAAGGTACTGTGTTATTTGGCTTAGTTGTTTTCTAATGTTATTAATTTTATAATTTAACCGTGTTTGCTAATGAGGGGTGGAGGGTATATGATTGGTGTTTGTATTTATTATGTTATCTTTACATGTGTTAATTTGAATACAAGTTAAAGCTGCACAATAGATAATTGTATGAAGTTTTTCAAAAGAGATCGAGTTTGCGAGATATTTTGGTAAAATGAAGGAGTTCATTATTTCTACAATTGCCAGAAACTTTTTAGAATAACACTGGCGGGGAAGTAAATGTCTATCATTTGGTTTTAATTTAGAATATGTTTCGAAAGTTAATTTAAATTGGTCTTCAATTTCATTTTGGAAATTAATGTGGAATTTAAAATTGTTGTTTACAGTTTTGATTAATGTGTCTTCGGTGTTGTAGTACGTGTTTTGTAGATTATCTGGGATGTTAATTTGGTTTTGGATTGTTCTTGATAAATTGTTAAGTGATTTGTCAGTTAATGTCTGGGATCTGTTTGAACGAGTGTTGGTAATTTGTGTTATGGTTGTGATCTTATTTTGAGGTGATTTGTTTAATAAATATTTAGTAAATGTGTCAGTCAGTTTATTAAAATATAATATTATCCACTTTTTTTATTAATAGACAAATTTAATTTTCAGGGAAACAAATTAAAAAACACCCTCTAATATCATACAGGAGTAACCCTACTTAACGAACGAGAAAAGTCTAGATTAGGTACATTTTTAACGAAATTAATCTTACAATTTTTTTATACTGTTTAAATTAGTAAAATGTTTTAATGCTATAATAGTTTTAACATTTGTCCTTAGAGAAAACATGCATTAGCCTATTTGCTTCTTCGCAGTTAAAATTTTCGACAATCTTGCCATAGGCAATAAAACAAAACTTGTAAAAATAACAGAAAACATATAAGACAGTACCAAAATTTTAACATTTTCGCATAGCTACAAATGAAACGATTAGTCAAAAGTATTAAATTTGCTGTTATACTGACAGCTAAAAAATCTAAGAAGTAGTGAGGCGTTCGCCTCAAACTAGCATCTGTTTCTAGAATACTGAGATGGATCAAGTATGCACCAAAAGAAAGTTGTCCCAGTGTATGCATTGGACTCCATTCAAAACCCTTCTTTACAATACCTGCAGAAGGAAAATAATGAAATTTTAATTAAAAAATAATAGTAACAAAGTCAACCTCCAAGATTTTGAGACAATCCAAAAATGAACAGTGCGATTCCTAAATCGAAGAGGATTTTATCTATACTTCCATACGCTGCATTAAACCATCGATTTCTGTACATCGTTGTAGTCATAAGATACGTGGATAGAAAAGGAGTACCAACAATTAGGAGTGTGGTCAACATCCGCCACAAATTTATGTAAATCTAAAGCAGCGATACAGTTAACAAAAAATGCCCTGGTGACTAACCTTAGAATATTTTTGTTTTTCATGTCGGATGTAGAGATAACCAAAACATAGTCCAAACGCAAATGGTGCTAAATTTGAGTAAGTACTAGTCCATGTAGCTTGCCACTCTTTCAAAAATATGAATTTAAAATAATACGTCAGCCTGTAGCGTTCATCTGAATTACGATTGATTGTTAATTTGAATGAAACTTACTCTGGAGTAAAAATCACAGCAAACTTAAAATTGTTCAAAGCTAAATAGACAAACATAAAAATTATTTGAAACGCAATCACACATCCTGAAGTTAGCAGTAGATATTTGGGTTGCTTTTGAGTTAGCCATAGAAGAAAGACTCCTAAAATGGTTAACTGGAAGTCTACGGACAAATACCATGTGTGCAGGAGGCACTAGGAATTGTTTGGCTTGTAATTTTACAAATTTAAATCGTAATTTTGAGTTAAATTACCACTCCATCGCTCATTACAAAGTTGTTGATGTATAATAAATTTGTCCACCATTTTTTTCTACACACATTAGATTCTACTCCTAAAATTGATTCTGCGAAGGGACCACGAAACAAATGATTTAACCAAGAAGTATGCAAGATAATGACGGTTAGTCCAGACGTAAACCTGTAAATATAAACATGTCAAGCACTAAGCTTTCGATTTTACATGCAAGCATTTACCTAATGTACCTTTTTATTATAGATTGTAGAACATACCGAAATCTAATCCGACCTTCACTTTTGAGTTTTTTAAAAAACTGAACGGACAATAGCCAAGACGAAATCACAAGGAATGTTGAAACTATCATTCTACACTGAGGCAGATATAAATAGGATGCACTTTCGGTATTCTAAAAAGTACGAATTACTATTAAATTGGAGGATATTGTTGTGGTGAACAACATTTTCCCATTCATAATAGTTCAAAACTGGAGTCATCACACTAAATCCCATTACGTGGACAAATATTACACAAACTGAGGTAATAAATCGCATTGTTTGTAAAAACAACATGTAGTCTTGATTCTTGTGTTCAGTAGTGAAAATGTAGTTTATGTTATCAAAGAATGAAAATATTGATAAAAATTTTTGCTCTAAAAACAAAAATCATATGATTACTGTGTTACTGATGTTCTGGCCTCCGTTGTGGCACCTTTTGATTTGTTTTTAATTAGTTGAAGCCAAACCGATACCGACAATACAAAAAGAATATACAGTCCTGCAAGTACACTACAAGGAAAGAAATCAATGTGAGGTTTACTGAACCAACTCACCTTATAACAACATCAGTCGATGTTGATGTATATTTGGAGTTTTGCGTTTCACAACGAATAGAATTTACTTTTCCTACAACTGCGAGATTTCTATATTTATTTTTATAGTGATTACTCAGACAGTTAGATATTGTTCCATTATATTGTGAGCACACTGTAGAAGCACAAACTCCGTGTCGCAAAAGGTCGTGACGATAATGCATATTGTCTGAACTTACTTTCTAAATGTCAAGATGAAAACGAATGTTTTAAGTTCTACTACTCAAAAAACGTACCTGAATGGTAGTCCAGGCCCTGTTTATACTGTCTGAAACATTTCTAGTATTTTCCGGCAGTAGTTGTATTGTCAGTGAACAATACGTAGGATCATTATGACTAGTATAGAACAAACATTTGTCATAATCATCAAAGTGGAAAAGATCAGGAATAAGATCGTAATCTAAAAATTTCTGCACAAGTAAGTTATAAGAATGTCACAACCTTAAATTATTATTAATCAAGCAATGAAACACTAAACTTAAACCTCTTCCATGGTTTTGTATGTAGCTTACCTGTGGCTGTTAATACAGTGGGAGAAAGTTGTAAGATAAAAAATGTTGTAACAAATCCTGCACTCATATTTGTTTTGAAACTACAATCACCTTAGTTTTGTTACAGTTAATCATACAAAACGATAGTTTTTATTGTATGCGTTTTGAGGTAGAAATTATAGAAACCTTGTTAAGTACATCGATTATGAGGTAATTAAAATTAATTTGCTGTTATTACTTTTTTCTTCTGAAGGACAATGTAATGATGCTATTTGTGTTTTATTTAATATTATAGGTACGTAGGTAGGGGAACGAGGGGCTTGTTGTAACAGTTTTTAGGAAAACGAATATAATTTGGTATCTATTAGCTGTTTGACCATTATAAAAGTATCTATCGGTAGTCTAACTATTCCCCTATTGGACTGAACAGGCAAAAGGTCAAAATTGTTCATCTTCACTTCACACCAGGCATTTTCTTAAAAAAAGTGCATTGTTACAACTTGCCCCGTGGTTGGGGCTAGTTGTAACAGCCATCATACAGGCAGTACCAGTAAAAATAAAGCTGATGTTGATACATATTTAGACTTTATTTTTGAAAAATCAACACAACACTTCATTATATACAATTTTTTTTCAGTAAAACTGAAATAAACTTTTAGAAAAAGAGTTAACATTAAAAATTTGAGTGTTGTCTTCCTTTTTCTTAATATATCTGGAAAGCGATAAATGGCATAGGTCAAAATTTTGGCTCGCTTTTCGTATGCTAGGTATGAGATTTGTAGAAGTGAATTTGGGATAAGTTGTAACATGTTACAACTTGCATCAAAGCTATTGTTACAACATGCCCCGTAGCACAATTTTCTACATTTAATTACATTTCGTCAAAATTATGTGGCTTAGCGTCAAAATGTGTAAGGAATATCAAAGCTGAGTAATTTTTGAGCTACATGCAAAACTAAAAGTTTTAAATTAATTAATAACTGATACGAAAAACCAAATTTTACTAAAGCAATATTTTACATTACTTGGTCAAAACGAGACACGTGCACACATCCACTTACTGCGCTGGCTCAAGGAACAGTGGTTGTGATGACATGATGTCTTATGGTGCAAGAATTAAATTCAGTAAAATACCTGACGTTAAAGAGTTTAAATTGTGGGTAAAAATTTAGTGTTACAACTTACCCCTGTTACAACAAGCCCCTAGTTCCCCTACTCTGACTATATAAGTAAATATAATAATTATAAAAGTCAAGATCAAATTTAACAGTTCATTTAAGGAACTGATTGTGTTTAAGTGATTGTGTACGTGCTTTCCAAAAATATAATCGTGCTATATATCTTGTCTCAAAAAAAAAACAAATTATGAGTTATAGTTATTATAAGACTTACAAGGAACTCTTGAAATATAAATATAACAGCGTGACGGGTTTTCGATGGAACAACAAAATCAAAAGTTAATATAGTAGACTCAAAGTTGAAGTATGATTCAAAATGTTGATTCCAGTTTTTAAAAATAAAATAAGGGGCAACTGAGTTACCTTAAGACTTTCATCAGAGAGTTACGTTTATTTTGATATAATTTTATTTTAAGGATAATACTTAGTATATTAAAAACCAGTTTGAAACGACTTTATTTTTGAGTACTAATCACAAAATTAGAAAACGAGTCGTCAGACGAGATGTCTTATGGGATGTATGTTATATGGTACTTTTTCTATTTCGCAATTTATTGTTTATTATAAAAAATCGCTCGTTCGAGAATTTCTGCTGTTACTAATCCACAGGCTATAGTAATCTTTTCGTTCAGATTGTTCACACCTAAAATAGGATTCTTTGTCCTTTACCATCCCCCATAAGAAAGATCCAGTGGTGTAAAGTCGGGGTTCCGGGGAGGTCAACCATTAACTGATGCCCTCCCCATCCATTTGTTTGTGTACCTTATTTCCAAATTTTCTCTCAATATCCGTGCGTTATGGGCATGGGCTCCATCGTGTTGAAACCACATACCAAATTTAAAGGGATAAGAAAAAATTAGGGTCCAATTAATATTATTTTCTATAGTAACTAGAACACCAAACACTCACTGAATAAACAATCTGTAAATGGATTTGGCGAATCCAGTGATGATTCCTGGGAGTAATAATACCAATTATGCCCGTTAACCCATCCATTTTTGCTAAATTTGGCTTCATCATCATCACTGAAGAGTACTTTTCCAAAAAATTTTCATCTTCATTAATTTTATGTCTAATAAATAAAGCTCGGAATTATAGGCAGAAAAAAATATGTAAATACTTATGCGAATTGCATTAGATGCAAAAATTGCTAAAATATGCAAGAAGTATATGCAAAATATGCAAGAAAAATTACTTCTTTTACACATTAGTATTTTATTTCTATCATTTCTTATAACACATAACTTAAATAGATAATACATATTTGGACTTAAACAACACATTTACAAATTAAAACTAACTACGTCGGTGTATACTATTACCCTATTAACTAGCTATTTTATTGACTAACTAGTTACTCTCTTGAAAAATATTGTTACGAAATAAACCCATACGCCGTCCCGGTGTGACGCCTATGGCCATCGAAGCCTTTCTGGTCTATACGCCAAACAGCGGCCGGGGTCGCCCCAGAAATGCTTAGAAACGGAAGTCGCGAATGGGGATTCCGGAGAAGTAAAGAAGCGATGACGTAAATCTTCAAGAAGGACCGCGTGTTGTTTAAATAGAGCCCACCTTTGGGGAACGGATTATTCAGAAGGTTCAGCTAGTTCAGTCAAGAGCGTCCAGTGAAATTCGCCGGAATAATTTCTGTACGAGTAAGGAATAAATTGTTGAGTTTTACCCACGCCAATTCAATCACCCGTCCAACGTAACAATATTATTATTTACATTTATTATAATGTTTTTCTAGATTTTCCACTTTAAATGAATGTCTTCGATCACTTAAAATATATTTATACACTGAAAAACTACGCTGTACATCGGTAGATGTTGTTAGGGCATATTAATTTATATTTTATTTTTCATTTTATCATGTTTATCATAACTTTAAAACATCTGTAAGATTTCAAAGCATTCACATTTAAATCGCAAAATGTTTTACAATTTTGATTTTTTTTTTAAATCTCGACGTTTCGGGTGAAAACTCAATACGGAATCATGAACTACATCTTGTGTTATTTCATACAATTTAAACGCCATTTACTATGTGCAATTATGTGACGTCATCACATTATTGGTGGGGATGATTAGACAAATTTTGGTTAGCGTTTTACTATTTGCATCATATTCCTAATATAAATACAAAAATTCGGTCCAGTGCTTTCTAAAATTATCAGTCTAATAAAAATCCAGGACGGCAGACAGAGAGACGGAAACTGGAGACTTATTTCTTCGCACTCTACGGGTCCTGAAAGGTCGAGAAAACGTAAAAGTAGAGGGTCGGCCGACGGACTCTATTTTGTACAGAATCTTCTATATATGTCTCTGCGACCGTAGTAGAGCGCCACCCCCTTGTCGTTTAATGGTTGTAATATTGGCTCCTGAGTCGGTTAATAGGGTGGCGGAGGAACGCCTGAAGCAGTGCTCTGTATAATTTTCCGGGTGAGGCAATTTGAGATACGTTGCTCCTTCTTTTGGCACATTCTTTATTTTGTTGACGCCAACCACTTAATTAACACATTTTTCCCTGATATATTTCACAAAAAATCTGGTAGTAACTCCCGGACGTAAATCACGATATTTTCGCAATATCTTGATATGGTCTTGACGTGAAATCACGAAAGTTCTCTGACTATGATTTTTACAATCGGGAACTCTTACCAGGGGCGGCTTGTCCTATGAGGCAGGTGAGGCAGTGCCTCACCAATGAATTTTACGCCTTATTAGGATTTTTATTATTTTATACGGACACATTTCGGCCAATAATTTGTGTCTTTTTTCTAAAATTTTAAAAATAAATATAGAAAATTATATTCTTATTTTTATCTCGGTAGGTACTCGTTGCTCCCTTAATTAAACAGCGCGCTTAAACACTCGGCACAACATGTATTTTGTGACGCGAATGAGGCCGACTCGAAGCTTGCCTCTACAGCATATATAGAAATCATGTTGTTAATAGGCAAGCAACCTGCAATACACTTATAAGCGGTATGAGTTGAAAAAAGACAAAATTGAGGCTAGCCTCATTTCCGTGCTTGCAAAAGAGATGGACAACTATATTATTTGCGCGCGGGGAACGTGCGATTGCAATGCAGTCTGCATTCGCAGGAGTATTCAAAATTAGGCCGTTGATTGTTTTGCCACAAATCTGTGTGTGTATAAATTGATTCAAAATTTCGGTAACAGAATTTTGTCTTAAAAGTGCCTACGTTTGCGTGGGTCGCGTTAGTGCTTTGTGCTTGTCATAATTTGATTTCGGTAATCGTTATTTAAGATTACGAGTAAATCGGAATTTTTCTCTACTAACGTTAAATGACAATGGCAGTTCTGTTTTTTCTACTTTCACGTATGATGATAAATTGTATGTAGTTAAGGAATTAAAACCGCCGGTTCCTGATTTGAGTAAATCGTTAATTGATCCATAAAAAAAAATTTTAAATAAATCCGTATTTATATTTTATATTTTTTTCATTTTGTTTTTTGTTATAAATCAAATTAGCTTTATTTTATGTTGTATTTGATCTTTTTCGATATGTTTCCTTTAAAGTTTATTTTAATTTTGTTTTTTGTTAGAAGTTATATTAGTTTTTTCTGACCACGCTTCCCTTTCCTTTTGTCCTGTCATTCTCATCCTTTCCTTGCAAGACCTCCTTACACCTTCACGTTGGTTCTTTGTGGACAGTTAAATGAGTTTACAAATTTGTTTATTTGACTAAATAGAAAATATTTAAGTAAACTTGATTTATTTATATTTTAGAGCGTTTTGTGCTGTGCCTCATCAATTTTTCAAGTCATGAGCCGCCCCTGACTCTTACAATGATGATTGAATCTTTATCTTCTATATTACTGGTCGTCATTTTGAGCAGTCCATCTGATGACCTGAAAAATGGGTCAAAATTATTTCAATCGATCTATTTATATCAATTTGGATTAGCTACCTTTTGTAGCAGAAATCTAAGTATTATCAGGTGCCTTTTGTAAAAATCTCTCTAGTTCTTCTTTTGTTAGAATCTTAGACCAGCGATTCTCAACCTTTTAGTCTTCACGACCCATTTACCAATAACAGTTTTTATCGCGCCCCCCCTCAAAAATTTGCTCAAAAATTTTGGAAGCAGAAAGCATGAAACCTAATAAACTTAAACGCCATTTGGAAACGCTTCATAGTGAATTTGTTATTAAACCTCGGCAAATTTTCGAATTAAAATTGAAATCATTTGAAAAGCAAAAAAAAAATCTTTGTAAATAAAAAAGCTTTACTTGGATCGTACAAAGTTTCATATAGCGATATGTAAAAAGCCGGCGAAGAACTTATTCTACCAGCTGCAACTGAAATTGTAAAAATTATGTTTGGAGATAATTTTACCAAACAATTGAAGTTTGTACCTCTATCAAATGAAACTGTTGCGCGTCGAATTGGTGATATAGCTAACGATGTACAGCATCAGCTTTTTGAGAAATTGCATGATAAATTATTTTCAATTTAGCTTGATTAGGCAACAGATAGCATTAAAGATGCGTTTGTTCGGTTTTGTCTGGTGCTCAGCAGTAGAAGAACTGCTTTTTTGCAAACCAACAGAACTCAAAGCAACAGCACTTACATTATTTGCTACTTTAAATGATTTTCTAAACGAAGGAAACATAGAATGGAAAAATTGCGTCGGAATATGCGGATGGTGCTCGTGCAATGTCTGGAAAATTCCAAAGTACCTATGCAAACACTTGTGAAACAAAAATCTCCACAGTGGGTGTGGACGCATTGCAGATCCATAGAGAAGCTTTGGCTTCCAAGGAAATGAGTCCTGGTTTAAATATTGTACTAACAACGGTTCTGACAGCAGTAAATTATATAAAAATGAGATCCTTAAAAATCAGAATATTTTCTGAACTTTACAAAGACATGGGTGCAGTACATTCATCGTAATTTTTTTATTGCGGGACAAGATGGTTATCACGTGGAAGATTTTCGCAACGTGTTTATGAGTTAAGAGAGGAAATTACCATTGATTTAGTAGACGAACACAGACCGTCGAGAAGTTTCGAGATTATTAATTTGTCATGAAATTGAGCTACTTGTTCGATATTTTCGAGAAATTAAATATTTTGAATCTTCAACTCCAAAGAGCAAACACACATATGTTGGATACTAGTGATAAAGTTACTGCTTTTTGTAGAAAATTGGAATAGTGGAACAGAAATGTAAAGCAAAAAACCTAGAAATGTTTCCAAAAGTGGATGAATGTGTTAAAACTTACAAGGTTGAGGAACAACTCATATGAAAGTTGTTTTTGTAACCACTGAAAATCATGCTGGCAAAGAATTTTACAAAGCACTTTTTTGCTGATGAGAATTTGCTAGCAGGTTACGAGTGGGTTAGGGATCCATTTCAAAACACTCCTGACGGCCTTTCAACTGCTGTAGAAGAAATGTTCATACACTTCCCGGCAAGCGGCGAAATCAAAAGACAATTTAGTAACAAGCCACTCTTTGAATTTTGGCCATGCTTGGATAATGAGTTCTCTGCGCTGAAAATAAGAGCGCTATGTATACTATTACCATTTTCAACATCGTACCTTTGTGAAACCGGATTTTCTACGATGGCTGCATTGAAGACAAAATATAGGTCTCGGTTGAATGTAGAGAAAGAACTTAGAGTGTCAATTTCTCAAATTAAACCGCGTTTCGAAAAGCTTTGTGCGGCTAAACAAGCTCAAGGGAGTCACTATTGCTGCATTTTTATTTAATTATTCAGAATGAATTTTATTTACTTTTTTAACAATATATTTAATTTTTTGTAGTAATATATTTATTATTTTTTTAAATATACTTTATTTTTTCTAAAAAATATATTTCTTTATTTGCTCGCGCCCCCCCTCTAATGTTGTCGCGCCCCCCTAGGGGGGCGCGCCCCACAGGTTGAGAATCGCTGTCTTAGACTTTTTTGGTCGGTACCCAATTGACTTGTTTTTCAAATATGGTATCAGTTTCGGAAATTTCGCTATATTTATATTTCCTTTAAGGTTCAGTGTACTTTTTAACATAGAATATATCGATCATAAAGGTACTACCTTTTTTATTTTATGCTCGAAGTATGCTAATAAAACAGATTCGAACACTTTTTGGATTTTCTTGGAACTGCACCACTCCGAATTCCGTATAAGCAAGTTCGTATTGTCTTACGGATTTGTGTGGCATCAATTGTGACATCGCACTTTGTGCCGCTTCGAAAACTTCTTGTGGTAACTCATTTTTTAATAAAACGTTATAAAACTGCAGTTCCAAAACGAGTTTTTGACACAACTGATTTTATTGTTTGCTACGTTGCTATGGATCGTCTTGATTAAAAATTTACTCAATTTGATTTATTGGAACTGTGCAGTTTTCAAAAAAAACGTTGTTTAATACTCGATTCGCAATCTAGAGTCGCAATTTAGAATCAAAAATAACTATTTCAGGCATATCAGTTACATCAACTATGTTATTAATTTCCATTTAAATTACCAAATGGGCTGGCATATCTGGAAGTAGGTCATCGACATACTACACCCCAACTAGACATCTGTAAGACAAAACTGCTGTGATAATTATGAATAAAACCAATATATGACCTGCATCTTATATTTAAAAATTACCGTACTGAAACATCATAAGTTCAAGAAAACAACAGAAATAATATTCCCCAGTCTGACCATTTACCTCAGCTCATTAGAATAATAATTTTCTCTCTACAAAATAAATAATAGGTATCATTAATCTGATTAAATTCAATTAGTTAATGTTATAATTTATGTTAATATTCTTTCAGTAATATGTAATATAATGATAATTTTACTAACTTATTTATCCGAGAGACCACGTAGTCCCAAAGAGGTTACAAATTTCACCGAGACAATAAATACCATTATGATACAATAATAATAATAATAATAAATTACAAATTAAGGGCAGTAGTATACTCGTAATACTAAACTAACATGAAATGTCACGCATATAAATAATAATTAAAGTGTACATCAGATAATAAAATCTTTACAACTTTTTTTATAATTGATTACCGGTAAAGATGTCCAAATCCTTATGTCTGTTACTAGTACTGTTGTAGATGGTAAACATATTATAAAGTGGTGAGCGAATTTTTATTGCTACTAACAGTCATACCTATTAAGGCCTGTAAACTGTATATTTACTGGAGTTAATATAAAACAAAAACTATAATCTTTACCAATTAAAATAAAAGCAAAAAATCGGCATAAATACATATTTGTACATGACATAAAACAGTCCAAATATGAATGCTATTTTACACACTTTATCGACTATCCGCATTCTGTAAAAAAAGTCATATAATTTTGGTAGTATATTATTGATTCATAGTATTTACCTTTCCATGTGTTTTTTTGCAGAAGGAATAGTGTCATCTGGTTCCTTCAAAATATATGTTCTTGCTGCATGTATACAGTTCCTAAAGTACTGGTGGTAGTCGATGTCCTCTCCATCCACTTTATAAACAGATTTTTCTCTAGGATTCAGAGTATTTATCGCTTTTAAAGTTCCGTCATTGTTAAAATCCCATTGCCTATTGGCATAGTACTCGAACACATCGTAACCTTTAGATATTCTTTTTTGCACTTTCATTAATCTGAAAACAAAAGCATTTTATTCCATTATATCCGTTCTAAGTTTTTTTTTATTTCGTTTTGCCCACTTACACTGACTTATATCCCAGTAAAACCAACAACCCATCCAAAACCACTGCTGGAATCCACTGAAACAGGAGAAACTCTAGATTGTGGTGCCACCGCCACTTCTTCATGGAGCCACCAGGGTACCATAACACTCCATTAAAAGGTAGATCATTACAAACAACGCTTCTACCTATATCTATGACTTGTTGATTCGTCACTTTGTGTTGGAATGAACTAGTAATATTAAAAATACGTTTCCTAAAATATAACAATTGAAAAGAGTGCGTCATGAATTTATGGGACACTTACTGATTCTGTAGATAAAAAAAAGTACAACAAAATAAAAAATTCGCTACTATATCGACAGGTACATAGTCAGCATAGGTTTCTTTTTGGCAGTACATAGTACGTAGCACTCCTTTCCCTGCCGCTATAAGAAGACCTGTAGGACCATTTATGTTATCAGTCCATCCAACTACAGGCTCCTTCCAAACAGGAACAACTAAATATATATATGAATTATTTTATCCCAAAAGTGATAGGCAACTTACTAACTGAAGGCCTTAGAATTATAACAGGTAGATTATCCATTTCATCCGTCACTAGCCCTTCAGCAAGGGCTTTAGTGAAAGCATAGGTATTAGGTATGTCCTTTAAAATTCTACAACATATAAGCTATCTTAAACTCTTTAATAACAACCAAACTCAAACATAAATTAGAAATTTACTAACTTATTTGTAATACATTCTAGCGTTTCTTGGTTCAACCACTCACAAGCTTTAATTACTTTATCTGGATCGGCTGGAGGAGGGTAGGTCTTTTCATACAAAATCCTTTCCTTCAAGTGACAGTAAGCTGTACTTAAATAAGCAAAAACCTGAAGACAAAAATTAGCCATTTTTTAAATTTATGCAGTTTTAGTACACATACAAGTAATCTTTTGCAAGCTTTAGCCAACTGCAACATTAATTTTGTACCCCTAGTGTTAAGAAACACCGCCTTTTGTAAAGTCTCATCAAATCTGATGCTAGCGGCACAATGGTAGATCATATCCACTTCTTTAGTTATTTTTTCCCTGTCTTCGGACGACAAACTTAAATCTCTAGTTTCCAAATTTGCAGAGACAGCTTCAACTTTTTGGAATATTTCTGGTCCGTTTTGTTTGTTTAGTAAACTGAATAGCTTAAAGAAAGAATTACGTACTAGATAGATATTTTTAATACGATTAACGCTTACAGGTCCAGCAAACACATCTTTCATTCTCTCGTTAGGGTTCTTGTCTTTTTTTGTTCTAACCATGACAAGTATTTTCTTAATTTCGGGACATGTTCGAAGTAGTTTTTCTAAAAAAACTTTTCCCACGAAGCCTGTAACTCCTGTTATTAATATAGTTTTGTGTGCAAATATTTCGGCTATTCTGTTCGGATAGTCTTCTATCGTTGTGTCTGCCATTTTACTCTATGAAAGAAATGTAAATAAAATAGTTTATTGTTTATGAGTTCTAGTTCGTCGAAAATACAATATTATAGAAAAAGTCGACACGTTTCGTCAACCACGTTGGTAGTCTAAAGCAAAATGTAGCCCCGCCCACCCGCCCTATCTCAATTGTGATGATTTTTTCTATTCGTCGTGAGCCAAGGGGACGGAGCTAACTGCAAAATCCTTATTTCTCTACGAAAAATTAAAAACATGTTGTTGAGTATCGTTTTGTTTAAAGAAGACTTTGTACATTAAGAAAAAAAATAAAGCCAAAGATTAGGCCCCACCTATCGCCACTCCAATCTCAAATCGCAATTGTGACGAATTTTTCGTTTTTCGTCACTTTAAACATATTTTAAGTTTTAAGAAGAAAAGCAAAATATAAGAAATTACCATGTAAGACATGTTTTTGTGTATCGTGTTATTCAAAGAATGCTATATATATTAAGAAAAAATTAAAGCCAAAGATTAAGCGCCACCCATACCTGCCCTGATCTATATCATATCTAATGAAGTTTTCATTCGTTGGCAGACCTAGGGGCAGAGCCTAATTGCAAAATCCATATTTTCTTACAAAAATTTACCATTTTAAACGTATTTTAAGTTTCTAAGAATAAAATAATTATCACAATTGAGATATGGTGGGTGGGCGGGCTTTATATTTTACCTTTTTTTCTTTATATGCATAGTATTCTTTAAACAACACGAGGCTCAAAAACATGTTTTTAATTTCTTGTAAATAAATAAGTATGTTGCAGTTAAGCTGAGCCCTCTTGGTTCAAGGCGAATGAAAAAAATCATCACAATTGCGACTGGGCGGGTGGGTGGGCTTACATTTTGCTTTGTTGTTGTAATACGTGTGGACTTTTTTTCACAACATCAAACTTAGAACATGTTAAAATGAAAAATTTGTATAAGGAAATATCGATTTTCCAATTAGTCTCCACCCCATAATTGCAAAACCCATATTTCCTTGCGCACCCACTGGTAATAGATTTATTATTTAATGGTGAATCTAAGCATTTACAAATAATTGCGAAATTCCCTGGCTGGAGAAACTTAATTGTTTTATTTCTCCCAAATTTAACAATACTATGTTGATTTAAGCATAAGTGTTTTATTTGTTTGCGAAAGGACCAAGAAAATTGTTTATTTATTACACCTGTAATTGGAATTCCCAATACATTATTGACAAATTTCACAAAAATCAGTTTGTTGAAATCAACGTTATGAAAGGTTCTTCTTGTGATTGGAGGTTAGTGCTCCTAATTAGAATTATTTAACAAATTATGACAGACGGAACATAAAACCAAATATACATTTAATGTATTAGTTCATTACTGTAATAAATTATATGCACCAGACACATTAAAATTCAATTTTATGTTTCTTTAGAATTAATATTAATGCAGTTATTTCTTTCACACAGAGTAGTCTTGGACTAATTTACGTGGGCATCCCGAATATTATTTTACAATTAGAAGAGAGTGGCTTCTTTTCGATTAGTTATAACAAGTGTTGAAATATTCAATTTCAAATTTAATGGACGGGATAACCCATTGCCTTAGAGATACAGCGAAGTATACCGGGTTTCCCATTACACATTCAACAGAAAACATACCCCTTTCATATTAACTGCATTCAAAATAAACAAAGACATTGTCATTTTTTTATTATAATTATGGATTGAAAAAGTGAATGAATTGAACTTTTATTGAGCATTTTTTATTTGAACTTGAACATCAGCAACAATAACTGTCGCAATTTGTTTAAAAAATTCCATTTATAATTAATTTAATGCTAATAGTAATTAGAGACGGACAAAAGCATTTGTACATTCTAAACTACTGGGTATATCAAATTAAAACTTGTACGATATATTTTTTTAATGTTTTAGTTTTCAATTAAATGAACCATAAAAATATTGTTGTAAAATTTTATGTGTATTTTTGGAATGTCGTGCAGTTGCTAAAACGCTAACTCTAATTTGTCCTGAGCATTTGATAGCATCACCTTAAAATTGTGGTTTATGAATCCAGCTTGATTTTTATTTCCCGAGGAAAAGCAAAAGAATAGCATTCTTCTAACTTTCATGTTTTCTCAACGTTCCATAACCGCTGAAGTATGAAAAAATGGTTTCCCGTTTCCGTTTGTTTGTCCTCGATTTTCTTCATATTTTATATATACAGGGTTAGTAAAAAATCCCGGAACGATTGAATAACTTTGTTATTTGAAAGGTTTTTTTTGGAAATTTTGTGTGGATATATACTTAGTTAAACTTGATTGCAGTATTTTTCTTTTTTTATCGCTTTTGGTTTGACACACAAGGCAACTACAGAATAATAAACTAATTTCAGAAATTATCAACATGTTCAATTCTACTGATACAAAAAATACAAAAAAATTCACAAAAAAACACCTAATAATGAACGATTTTCATTCAATTTTATAAAATAACAATTTTATAATTGTGCTTTGTGGATCCCTTCGACATCCAATTTTCTCAAAAAAATCAATTGTAAAACGACTTTTTGTACTACAGGGCCGCAGTAGTTGTCTTTTTTATTTAACACCTGTTTTAAGTGTAACTTTCATTTTAATTTTACACGCATTTGAATTAATTGTTATATCTACCATTGGATTCAAAATATGTAAATTTGTTTGACAAAATTGTTAAACGCTGTCATTTTTTTAAGTATTTAAAATACTATTAATTGTTTTGCAGAACGATGAACTTTTTTTTTCGAAGCAAATTAAAATTGTTAGTAATGGATTTGAAAATCTCAATAAACAATACAGTACAATTTTAAGTAGATATTTTAAAATTGGAATTTAAACATGCCAGGATATATATTATATATATTTATTTTTTATTTTTAATGACGATAATTTAATACATAAAAATATCAAAAACATACCTTCAATGTAGAACTTCACGTTCTTAATTTGTTCAAACACACCAAAACAAGTAATTACCCTCACCGTCCGCACAGTGAAGTTTAAATATCCATCAGCTTCGATGAACACCTAAATTCACTATGACCACTTTCTTTGAGCCACGGATAATTAGTGGGGACTTACCGTAATTTTTTTGTCTAATATGTCCGCGAATAGGTCTACTTTTTGCGTGCTTTGTGGGTTTCTTTCCACTCGGAAAAAACTTTTTCCTTACGCATTTGATTGCGTGGTTAACCTTGAAACAGTGTAAGAAACGATGAAAAATGTTAAGATGAAAATAACAACAAATTTAATAACTATATTTTTAATGAACTGTCGTCAACGTTACTGTTTTCTTATTTCATTGTTTCATGCTATGTTAATGCAACGTTTATTCTAAATTACAACAACGTAGTGCGCTATTGTTGTCTGAAAATGTTCTGGAAAATAATGCTAGTATTAAAAAGTATTTTTATGCATATACTTTACAATTCAAATTTCGTATAACATAAAAAAAATATGTAACTCAAGGAAGACAAAACAACCTGTTTAAAGTTGACAAATTAAATAATATAAGCATGTTTACATAAAAAGATTTCTACATTTAGCGTTATTATAAGTATCACTGAAGAAGAATTGATTTCTTTTTTAGCACTTCAAACAATTGCATACCTATGATGACACAACTCAAACAAAGTTATGGAGATGTTGGGCGATGCTGCAATAACACTAAAGAAAATTGGTGTAATCAAAATGAATGTTCCTACCGCAGTCCAAATTTGGCAAATTTGCTATAAGTATATTCATATTTTCAAAAAAAGAAAAAAGTTTTATAAACTACGATAAAAAGTTGTTTATCAAATTTTGAATCGTTCTTAAAAATGTTATCTAATATTTACATAAGGCAGTGACACACATTTTAATGATTTCCACAAAATCTTTTCCTTTAATCTAATATACTTACCAAGATATCACTTGTTAAAGGTCCAACGGGAAGTGACCCTAGGCTTTCATTTGTGTCTACAACCAAACCGACGGAAATGTTCCTTTTAATTTTGTAAACATAAGGAAACAAAGAGTGGAAAGTTTGTCTCTTACATGAGCATTTTACTGGTTACATGAATAATTATCATCGAATAACAAAATGAACTACACATCGAAATGTTTCACTTGTCTTCTTAATTGTCTTTTTAACTATCCATTCTTCTTTAAATGCGTGGTAAGTCTGGAAATTTCTAAACGGTAGTGTGTATTCACAAAAGTGAAATTTACGCCCCCAATGATAAAACCCACAACACATATTCGACACGGTATTTTCATGACTGATTTTATAAAAAAAATAATAGGAGTAATAATTATAATGAAATATACCCATGCAAATAATGAGATTTCGATTTAATTTATTTTAATCCTAGTTTTCTGTTGTAGGTACTTGTACTTAGAGTGGCTAATCACTCCTTATCACTCATTATTTAACAGGAAGTTTGTTTCAGATTCACGATAGAACAAAATTAGTCCCGTGTTAAAGCATCCTCTATCAGACTGGTCAATTAATTCTAAATACTTTCACTTCTGATTTATGCTTGTTTGAAACATTATCGTACCGAGATAGTTTTGTTACAGTTTCAGTTTTCTGAAAACACAAAAAACTTTTTCGGAACGTGTTAACACTGCTTGATTAAAATTATATGTTTGAGGGAGGAGTAAATTCTTTTATATAATAAAAGTTCAGACAACGTTTTCAATTATATTAAGGCTCGAATTGTATGTAAAATGCATATTCCTTAAAATGCGGCATATTCAGAAAAAAGATATTTTCTGAACATAATTTGTTCATTAAATTTTTCATAACCCGATTAAAATTATCTTAATTTTTCATTATTTAACTCTTTATGTAGCATCCTTCTAGCAATTACTCATTCCCAGTACTTTCGGAGATTATCTGTCTAATAAAAAGCCGTGACGGGAGACAGACAGACAGACAGGCCGAAAAGGGGGTCATGAAACGTCGAGAAAACGGAAAAATAGAGAGTCGGCCGGCGAACTCTATAGTAAACGTTTAATTTCGTAGACAAAGGTAAAAAGTGTAATCATTTAGTTTCTTACACTGTTACTGATATTACTTATCTATATTTGGTTTATTGTACCTATAGAACTTATCAAAAATAACACTCCGCCAAATCAAATTTTTTAACGTTTTAAAGCAACGGGATTTGTTGAATTATACGTATGGAACGTGGGAAGTCGTATCGAAATAACCTTCGACCACTTATTTTGTTAAAAGTACGAGTACATATAGAGATTTTTTTCCAACTGATTTAACGCTGTCATTATCAGCATAAACATAAATCTACTACACCTATAAAAAGAATTTATTAGTAGTTCTTTTGTAGAATTGTCTTTCCAAGCTCATCGATTTTTCTTTTCATTAAAAATTAATTAATTAATGCAGCTGCAACTCTGATGGTCATTTCTCTGCTTAGACTTAAACGGAGCCCGTAAAACTTAATATGGGCTCTAAAACAATAAAACATTTTCCAGAAACTGTGCTTACTATAATAAGTTTCCTGGGTTTTTGGCCTAGAAATGACGAATACGTAACAGTTTTGCACACTCTGCAAGTTGCTCTGTTTTTCACTTTTTGTCAAGGGTGGATATTTCTAGGAGCTATGTTATACTTATTTGCAAACTACAGTGAGTTTGACATAACAGTATTAAGCGTATCCATAACATTAACTTTCAGATAATCCGAGAATTGAAGTTACCGATAGTGTTCTTGTATTATTTACAGGATTATTCTTTATTTATGGATTTGCAATGTACTTTACAAAAGTTAATAGAATCATTGACTTTCTCAAAGATGTGGATAATGTTGATAAATTTGAAGAGCCCGGAGGTCTACAGGCGTTTAAAAGAAAACATAACAACATAGTGAAATTTTTGACTGGATACGTCGTTGTTGCTATCTTGATATATGCGGTAGCAAGTTATTTAGACGGAAAAAGTTGTGAAAAACGAAACAGAGAAAATCATAAAAGCAATATTTGCGGGCTTGTGGTACCTTTGTGGGCTCCTGTTGATATGGATAGTTATGGAAAAAATGTTGTTTTTATATTAGAGGTGTTCACATATTGGATTATATTACTATCGGCTCTTACATTAACTTATTTTTTCGTTGTATGTTATGATACGCTCGTTGTCAGATTGAAACATTTGAAACACAATTTAGAAGGCATTCCTGAATTAACGAAGAAAATGCGAACAGAAACATTGATACGGTGTATCAAATATCATATCAAAATTATAAGGTAGGTTTTATCTGCTCAGTTAGGTAACTCCAGGTTTTTATTACCTTTAGTACTTTCGTAACGTTTCCATTAGGTTTTTTATATCATTTTTACTGATAAACATTAAAGAATGGTTATAGGTAGCATTGTCCATAACTATGCGCCAAATCTAGCAGCAACTAAGTAATTTTGAAACCAACTTTCAAATAATATTTAGTTCGTATCTTCAAGGTGGTCTACCAAAAATTTACTTAGATTTTTTGCTGAAAGCAAAAATCCACTTTGCACCCAACTTTTGTTGTTAAATAATAATTATTTTCCTGTTAGAGAAAATGTTGAAGATCGGTCCTTGAGTCCTTTTCTAATTACGTCATGAATGTCGTACCAAGTCTCATCTACGTATATTAAGTATGTAATAAGTTTCTTAATTTCTGAGACTCATTCATGACGAAGTTATACTTCAATTGAAGGCTTCCCATAATCGTGACTCCCTGGTTTTGTTAATTCACTTTTTTTTCGGTTAAGTAGAGTTTGGTCACTTTGTTGTACTCAAAATGCATAAATGTAATAAATTCTGGGAATACTTATTTACAATAGTGAATTTGACAATAATTGTTATGGATCGAGTAAAATTATGAAAATATATTTTTCTGAGAAAACTTATAATATTATACACTGAAAACAGATAATTGCAATACTGTGCATGATGCGTTGAATGTTTTTGCGTGATATTAATAACATTCTTGTCCAACTGAGGAACTTTCTTTGGTTTCAGTTTAACACAACAATGCAACGATTGCTTTGGAGATATAAATAAAGTTCACTTTTCTTTGTCATCTATAATACTGGGCATTTTGAACAATCAGACTATAACGGTAAATATTAAAAAAAAACTAAACCAATTTCTGGACATATGTAAATATACAGTCGACCAAACACATTTTTTTGATCTCACTTTGTATAATTCATTATAGGAACACCAATTGAAAGTAGCATTACATCTTCTAGGTTGGATAGCTACACTCTATTTGTTATGTAACATTGGACAACATTTAATAAACGAGGTGTTGTATAAACAGTAACCCTTTATTGTGTATAATAATTTATCTTTTTCAGAGTACAGCTATTTCTAGAACCCTGTATTTTCTGAACTGGTATGACTATGATTCAGAGCAAAACTTCTATCTAAGAATGATGATGATGAGAGCCCAACAGCCCTTGAGTATATCGACCGGAATCTTTTACTCTTATTCAATGGAAATGTTTTCAATGGTACGTATCTAATTGTAAGTAAAGTAATACGGCACTGCTTTTAGACCATAAATAGCAATTTATGTTATATTATTCACAATATTTTACATTATTACATGAAATCTGACTTACTTCGTCACTCATTGCCACATGCAATAATTATTCATTGCATTCAGAAATCTACCTTACCGACCGAATTGCGCGTTAGATTCAATAAGAGTGAGGATACTTAATCCTTATCCTTACATCTCCCCTCCTAAGATAAAAATTTTGGTACAAGAGTTTTGGTACAAATTATAATATACAGGGTGCCGCATCCAAGTCTGGATATAGCGAATTAACATGGGAATTGGTTTATATTTTATAATATCTCCCCAGATCACTTTAAAGCTATTATTGAGTGATGCTTTTGGGGAGGTCGAAGAGGGCTATCGGCCAGTATTTTTTTCAAATCGTTGCATCGCGCTCATTCACTGTAAAAAGGTTTTAAAAATCGTATTTTGAAATTCGCGCCCGATCCGAATTGTCGCGAAGTATTCCGTCGTACTGTCGAAGTTCGGCGATCGCGTCTTTTC